GCAACTTTATTGTTATCATAAGATATATCTACAATTTAACCTTTTCTATCAGTATTATGTGAGCTTTTATATTCACTTGGTTATTATTTCTAGAAGATAGGTTACTTCTAATATTCTTATATTTTACTATTTTTGTGCTTTTATTTCCAGGTCTATATTGATTTACTGACAATTACTTCACTAACAGCAACATCATACCAGGTAAAATTTAATAAAAATATATACCTGCAACTAATAAAATGCTTAATCCTAACTCTATGTGATATCGACTAAATGATCATTTGGTGAAATAATTGTTAGTAAATTGAAGAGATCCCTCATTGCCTTTATCAGTATATTTTTTTAAACCTCTAATATATGCAACCTTATCCATTTATATACTATATATTTTTTGAAGATTATTATTGCATAGACAAGATTTCTCATTAACTATAATACTATTATACAATGCTTTATTATTCTTCTGATCCTTATATTCACTTATACTACTCTGGGCCTTAAACAATTTGATTTTTGTCTTCTATGATGTACATATAGTTTTGAGAGCTTCATGGCTTATAGCTAGTTTTTCATTTTCTGTAGACTTCAAATTCTATTTAGATGCTGTCTTCTCATCTTCAATTGTGTCTATTTCTTTTTAATAGCAGACTCCAGAATTATATTGTTTGCATAAGCTACCTTCAGGTTTGTATAAGCTCTTTTCAAAAATTTTGTATATATCAACAGCAAACTTCTAGTAATAATCGAATACTATATATTTCTCTATTTCAACTCCAACTTCATTCTTTTTAACACTTATTTCAAGATGATTCATGTTTGAGCAACAAATTGTTATCTTATTTTCACCCTTGGCAATGTCAATACCATTTTGGTAATAGTATTTCTCTATTTCAACTCCAACTTCATTCTTTTTAACAAGATGATTCATGTTTGGGCAACAAATTGTTATCTTATTTTCACTCTTGGCAATGTCAATACCATTTTGGTAACAGTATTTCTCTATTTCAACTCCAACTTCATTCTTTTTAACACTTATTTCAAGATGATTCATGTTTGAGCAACAAATTGTTATCTTATTTTCACCCTTGGCAATGTCAATACCATTTTGGTAACAGTATTTAAGACCCCACATTGTACTAGTATGACCTATATCCACAGGCTTTTGGTAGTTAATGAATGCTTTTGGTTCATACTTTTTGACTCCAATTTCATCTTGGTTATAACAGCCAAGATTATTTATTTCTATTGCATAGCCCATTTCTGCTGATTTTTGATTATTAATGAATGTACAATTTTATCTATTTTACCATATGACTTAGCTACTTTTTCTCAATTGAACACTACTACATCTTTGCCATTATTATTATATTATTCTTTTACAACTATTTTATTATCTGTATCTAGTTGCTCGACAGATATATGGCTTTTATTCTTATTTTTACTATTTTTATAACAATAGCCAAGGTTATATGCTCTATTGTAGTAATCTATCTCAACAGATTTTTGATAATCATGAGATGCCTTTTGTTCTTTCTTTTCAATGCTGATTTCAT